CCCCCCCCTACCAGATCATGCTGGATCCATCCCTGCAAGAACATTATAAAACTAAGATGATTCAACAAGAACATCATAAAACTGAATATCATCTTTGTAAAGTTATGGCCGGAATTTCTGCAAGTTGAATATACTGTATATCAGCTATTTTATTTTTCTTTCATCTGACATAGTATAAATCTAACTCTATTTAACTGTTCAATTGTTAAACATCAGTCCCTTAAAATTTTTACAAGCTACTGAGTATTGATTGAAGCCCTTGGCAACAGTGCAATTACCATGAGCAGATACATGTACGCTTAGCGTACCTATTTTTTGAACTTACAACTGGTAAATGTATTCAAAGTGTTACTAATAGCAAAGGAATTCAGTGAAAAAAGCGTCATGCTCTGGCTCAAACTGTTTTAAATTGTTAACAACAACATGAAAACACACGAATACAGAACTATGTAGAGAAGCCAAAAAGTTCATACATGTCACACATATCTTATACAAACGACGCAATCACTTGTTTTCTTGGCGTTATCCCGAGTTAGCATGCAAAACTAAATATATTTGCATTAATTTTCTAAGCAAGTAGAAAGCACAACATAGATTTTATATTTCGACGAGACTAAAAACTTTTTTGTGCGAGTTTTTCTTGGGATGCGCCTGCGAAAACATGTACATGCACGCATGTCAATTCATTGATCTTGCAGAGCTCGAAAAACTTTCGGCCGAGTGAGATACCACAATAAAACGGCGTAATTCAAAATTTTGCACGGTGACATGTGATGAAATTTTGCACAACGATAACTTCTTTTAAAACAAATAGAATATCAAAGTTTAAAAAATATCTGTAGATTGGAAAACTCTAAATCGGCAATTTTTTATTCTCGCTATTCTAATCTACAGAATTTTTTTATTTTCAGGGATAAGATTCCTTATTATAAGTGAGGGCAATAGAGCAGTTAAAAATGGGGTGTCACCGGCAATATTCAGAAAATAAAAAATAAAAACCTGCTTAAAATAGCAAAAAATACCATATTTGGTGAGACTACTGTTACCATGGAAACAATATTATGTTCAAGAATATTGCAAATTATTTCTACCAAATACTTAATTTATACTTGGGAATGTTTAAAATTAATAGATAAAGTGATAAAATTTATAAATTGAAATTTTTACGCAATAAGATATTTATACTACGGAACTGTATGGAGCCACCTTAAACAACACGTTCTACGATAGGGTTGCATATTCTATTTAGCTCAAATTTAGACAAATCTTACGATTTGATGAAGAATTTGCAATAAATGTTGAAAATTTTGGATAAAGGTTGCTTAAAATTGCAAATCTTAAAACATCCCCGAGGTTATGTTGCAATATTTTCAAATGTTCGATTCTTTTAACAAGAAATTTTAAACCAACCATTTAGACGAAAAGTCTATTTTAACTGCATTGCAGTATGGAAAAAGTATAAAGTTATTTTTTATAAGAATGGTTATAATTTTCAATACTAATGTCCAGAAAAATTAGCGCATTTCTTGTGCAATTAGCAAACTTTCATAAAACTCTAGATATATTTGAAGAATAACATGCTAAAGTTCATGCCAGTGTCGACATTGTAAGTTTCTGTGATAAAAATCAAACAGCAATAAAATATTATCCAAATTTTTGTGGGAAGATACATCACTAAGAGGAAATAAGAGTTTTGTTCAATAATCATCAACTTTATATGACCGAGGTATTACTTACTATTGTCAAATTTCATAGAGGCATTAAGTGTTAAACGCAATTAGCCTTTCTCACGCCGCCATTTTTGGGTGGCTTTTCAGCCGAAGTCTGGGCGTAAGTCCACATAACAGCGACTTTTTATAATTTTTTGAACGAATGATGGTAAAATGATGATACTCATCATCGCGAGAAAAGCTAATTTGAATTCATAGGGTGCAAATTTAGAAGATGGTTTATGATCTATCAAACTGAGTAGCATACAGTTTGATGTGCAATAAGTCCAACGCGCGACCCCTAAAACTCCGACTTTTTGCCGTATTTCCGCTCATGCACAATTTACCAGACGCATGACTGATTTTATGCATCATTGATTTCTTTACCAAAAGTTTAAAAATTATGCGTGCGAAAAAGTCCAGGTCTTAATGTTTTCAAATTGCGTTTTAAGCCTTTCATTTTTGTGCGGAAGCCATTTATTTAAAAACAAACAACAACTACCCTGCTCTCGAAAATTTCAAAATAATTTTAGTGGTAAATTTACTAGCAGGCACCCAACTACCAATGCTTGCATCAAATTTTCACAAATTTTGCGGAATTTGCACTTTAACGGACATTTTCGAACTGTGTAGTTTTTTATACACCCTGTTCGCATGCTCAGTTGTGTTAATTTAAAAAAAAATGGAAAACTTTACTTCTGTATTGTCGGACAAAGACTGATAAATGTCCGACCAATTTTCGCCTTAGCTAGCCAGACATTTGTTCTTCCAAGCAAAATAATTAATTGTAGCCTTCTGATGGCCTTTTTTATTATAGCGACATATTTACATGAGGTCCATGCCTTGGAAGTTACTGCGAGGGCGTCTCCAAGTTAGGTGCAATTTCACAACATGTAAAATAGCATGTTGGCTTACCAAAAAACGTTCTGTAATGCCCAGAATGTGTTCCGATCCAGACAACAATTGCTGCGCCAACCTTAACTTGCCATCTAATGGAAACTGGTCTATCGGTGCATCACTGGTTGTTCCTGCATAACGGTAAAACTTTTTACCTGTGTCTGTTCCAATTTCGCATCTAATTAACCTCTCCTGCATATGTACACGCACGTCAAGGTGTACCCATGCATCTCTGGGAATGCCGTTCACATTGTCGAATTCACATGAAACTGAATAACCATTGAACTCAATATAGAATGAAGATTCAACTTGGAGACTGGTACTTGTCTTCCATCTGAAATAGAATTATAGTTTATATTTAGATGATTAGTTTTGTCTATTTACATACTCACATATTTACACTCGCGTTTCTTGGCGGGAGAGAATATGTTCAGATGTGAGAATCGTAGGAGGGGGGAGGGGGGGGGGGAGAGTACGAGTGCATGAAACTCCAGCAAAAGAAATTCTCACATCCTGAGATACAAAATTCTGTTGCATTAACCACAATATAGCTCCAAGAACCTGCAGCCGGTAATATAAAAGGGTAGTTAATGTTACTACCACTTGCCATGGTCAACTGCAAATGTTTTTCCACGTTTGTTTAGGTTTCAAACGTACAGGTTTGCCGTTATATTTATACACGTGTGCCGTTATATTTATACACGTTTATATAGGTCCCTCCCATATTATTTAACAAGCGTATTAAGCGAGATTTTATATCAAACATAGCATTTTTCTTTATTGATTTTAAACTGAATGTTAAAAGCAATGTCTGTATATGAGTGAAAGCTTTATACCCACGTAGTTGTGGTAGTCAAAATACGCTATATTAGATCTAAAACCCACTTTTTGCATTTCTAAAACAAATCAACTAACACTTAATTATTAATTAATTACAAAATAGTGGTTTAAAAGTACTACTTAATTAAACGTTTTATACAACCAGCCCGGACTTCATTGAAGGGGATCGCCCCTTCTCCCTTCATGCCTACGCCTCTGTCCATTTATACTGCATGATAATTATGCACTTAGCTACTTAAATTGTGTCGGGTGCAATGCCTGTCAACTGGCGTGGAACTGTAACGTGGTACAGTTGTGTCAGATAGTTCTGCTGCACGTACAAGGTCTGTAAGGTGAACATGGTGTATGCTTGTCACGTGGTTCATATGTGGTGTACAGTCGCGTCAAATAGTTTTACTGTACATACAAGACATGTCCAGTGACATACTGGTGTAATATTGTCAGGTGATGCAAGATCATGTTAAGTGGTTCTACTGTACATACAAGATCTGTCAAGTGGTGAATATATACATACAAGACAAGATATGTCGGGTGGTAAAGATGGTGTATGGTTGCCAGGTTGTGTTGTGGTTCATAGTTGTGTTACTGATGGATATATACCACCCCCGAATGCATGCAATTTATCCCAATTTCAAAATTGATGTGCGCTCATACAGTGATACAAACTAAAAATACATAACATTGAATAGTGAATTAATTACTCGTATGCGACGTTAAAAGCAGCACCCTTTCTCGTCCCACGAGAAAAGAATACAATCGTTCCACCTTTCGAACCAGCTGCTGGCAGAAGATACGCCTTTACTGTGAATTCGTTGACCAAAAATGTCTCTTTGGCAAATTGAGTAGAAACATTTGCGAACGCAACCAAAGCACCCACTGTCGCCGTGAATTCATATGCCTTGGAATTCGAATGATAACCTGTCGTTTCATTGACACCCGAAAGGTCTACTACGTCAAATAACTTGATATCTTCCACCAATCTCGCATGATCTAAACAAACAAGTTAAATTTTGGAGTCAACTTGAAATTCATTTTGTTTCAGAGGTTATTACGTGTCTGAAAATTCATTCTCAGAAACTCAAGTCAAACAATACTAAATCTAATTTTAGACTATTAATTCGTAACTTCCTTTAAAAATGAAGAAAAGCTTGTCTATCATTTATGGAATCTCACTTTTCAAACTGTGATTACAAGAGATTTTAACACCCCGCGCCTACAGAAAAGCTTTCACTTGAATCAAATAGTTAATTTTCCAACGTGGGGGCGAAACACACTTGATGTACTAACTTGAAGAATTTTATGAGGAACATATGTCTAGAAATAAATCCAATACCTAGAGACTAATTTACTAAATTACAAAGTAAATCCTAAGAAATCTAACCCAAGCAATCGTCTAGCCGTGCGAATATACTACTTATATACAAGCTGTAGTTACAGTATCTATCAAATATGACAATTTTATAAAGGTTTCTCTCCTCGAAATGATTTTATTAAGACAGGTCGCTCCAGTTCCTTCAAAAGGGTATGTAAGACTGAACAGCCATGGATCACAACTTCATTGAAACAACTGTTTAAAAAGAGGGCAATTAGGAAGGTTAAGATTGACGTTTACGGCAGACCGCTAGCCACAAACGGCAAATTTCAAGTAATATTTTGAGGTCAACTGTTAGCTGTTCGAAGTTAGGACAATTTGTGCACAAAATTTGAAGCCATGGCCAGAAATTTAAGACATGCGCCTGCTAAGTGCACAGCGGAGTGTCGCGTGAAAACAAATTGTGAATGCAAAATGGCTGCCAGCAGGAAACGTACACGCAGTGTAGATTACAGTCAGTTAAACTCTTTTTCTTCTGCCGTACTGTATGACACCGCGCCGAAGAGAAGAAAATCCAAATTTTACGCAGTTGAGAGAATCAGTGAGAGAAGAAGAAGGTCACAGGTAAACGATACATTCTGTGTGAATATTGCTAATATTTTGAGAAGTATAATGCATGGCCATAATACGTGTCAATGAATCCCCCTGCTATATTAAAAGACAGCATCAAGGCTATTTTAATGAACTATTTTAGGATTACGAGTACCTCATCAAGTGGCAAGGATGGCCCTTCCACAGCTGCTCGTGGGAGCCGTCCGAGAATTTAAATCTCACACTATTAAGGTATGGATGATATCAATTGCTATTGCTCCATTATTTTTCAAGTGTTTATTGTATATATGTATATATATTTATATAGGCAGTACAGTCAAATTAATATTATTCTTTCTAATATTTTAATTTGCTATAATTGTTCCTTTTAACTTGTAGGAGTTATGATCAACCACCCAGGCCGGATAAAACAAGATTTGAACAAGCTTGCAGAAATTTTTTTCCATGCTATTCAGTCAGGCTTAAAATCAAAGTCAACTGCGATAATCTACAATCCTGGTCAATAATATTGGCGCACTTGACACTGACTGTGCGAAATTTGACTCTCACTTCAATAACAAGCATAGCAACCCCCCCCCCCCCTTTCCCCCGTTCAATGTTGTCATCTGGTGGAAAATAAACCGTGATAAGAAGCCTCGAGAGATGGAATTTTTGTCGAGAAAAAACAGTTGCATCTCGTGAAAACGTTTCCGTGTGGACAGAGCTTCAAACTGACAAAACTGGAAACGACATTCGAGAAATGCTCGAAAACGTTACCGTGTGCACGTAGTCTGTGTTTATATGAGAAAATGCCATCCTGCTCGCCGGAACAATTTTGTAATGTTGACAATTTTTTGACAGTTGTTAAAAATAGCTTGCAGCTCGGCATCTTTGAACATTCATCCTGGCCCAGCCTGCTTGTGAGTGTATATATGTGGAGAAATTTTCATCCCGATAAGCAACATTGTGGCATCAGAGCCAACCTGCTTGTGGATCCATATAAACACATGATAATTTTTTCTAGATAAATATATCTAATGCAGTAAAATCTTGCTTACCGGGCTGTCCCGCTAAGCGGTCCAGCCCAGCTTCCATAAATACAGCTGGTTTAAAGAACCATGAACTGCAACTGGAAGTAAACTATACTGTCGGTAACTGTGTGATATGGTATTGGACAAATTATTGGTGCATGTTAATAGTCTACTGGGCACTTGCCACAAGAAAATGATAACTGAATCCAGGCCCTTTGAATTAGATAAGAATGATATTATATTATAAATAATATTAAATTAATTGT